GGGTTCCCCCAATATAGTAACTTAGCTTAAGCTTCTTAACAGCAACCCAGTTTAGGGCAATGTGAGGGGCCTCACTTTGGAAGGTTTAGGATTCAGGGTTTCAAGTCCTTGCAGCTTCGTTTTTCAAGTCATTCAACCCTCCCGGCCCAACCGAGGGGGAGGTGATCAACCCCCATATGTCACTATAAGGAGATGGCACCTATATGCACCTATTCTATATATCATATATTGTATATCAGATTATCATATATTGTATATCGTATATTCTACATCTTGTATTATACATTATATATACACATCCTATTCCAATTTCCCTCTCACTTTCCATTGGCTCTCTATTTTGGGAGTGTCTCCTCAGTGAACATGTCCGTGTAGGCCGGGCAGCTCGCGCATGCGAACAAGCCAAAACCCTTGGGTGGATCAGCCGCCCGCACCTCAAGGGATTTGCGCTTGTAACCACATGGGGGTTCCAAAATTAGGGGTACGCTTTTGGGGGTCCCTATAGTAAGGATTGTAATATATTAGGGTCTATATTGGGGTCCCGCTATTTAGGGAAACTACCATCTCCCCTGTACTTAACGAGGATACTACCTTTAATATCATGATGTAACTCATCACACATCTTGTCACATCTGCACACATAAAAGCCTCGACCCTCCATCTACCCTCTAGAGACCCTAATAGGGACCTCATAATTACCCCTACAAGGAGGGTCCTGGAAGGTAGATAGGGGTGGTTGTCAAAATTGTGGTCCCTTTTTGGGTACCCTAAATCTTCGGTACCGTATTCTACTAGGGACCCACAAAGAGACCATAATGGTAGTTTCCCATTATAGGGGGACCCCAATATAGACCCTAATACATTACAATCCTTATTATAGGGACCCCCCAAAAAAGGTACCCCTAATTTTGGGAAACCCCTAATTTTGACAACCACCCATATCCCTTAGGCCCCACTCTGAGCCCAAAACCTCGCAGCCTGCTGGGGGTGGCGGTCCCCCCGGACCGCCCGAGGGAACAACGGTCATCTCCTGACAGCTTCATCTGGGAATTTTGATCTTTTTCTAGGTTTAGGGTTTAGAACATGGGACCTTCTTACTTTCTGCAGTTCTGCTCGGAATTTTGGGTTGAGGGCTCCGGGTCTTACCAAAAAACTGATGCCCTTCCTCTTCTGTGAGGGTGGTTCCCTCACCAAAGCCTCATGGCATATGGGTATAGAAGTATAGAAGTGGATGCAATTCTTGAGAAACTTCGCTGAAGGCCAATTTGGGGATAACTTTTTTGGAATCCCGCAGGACCCCGACAGCCAGCTTTCTAAAATCCCTAATCAAAGGCCCTACTTGGCCCTGCATCCTAGTTGCCACATGACCTAGCCCCATCAAGAATACTGTCACTATTTGTTTTTTTGGTGAGCGTATACAAATCATCCCCTGGCTTGGAGAATCAACTGAAAAACAGGCGGAAATCGAAATTCAATAGCTACAGAAACCACCCAACCCTGAACCCTATACCTTAGGTGTACCCCCCCACCCAGTAATAGTGACTAGAAGGGATAACAGGGATTATATTAAAGTCCTCTTATTATTGATATTCTACCACTACTACAGGGTGGGGGGTCCTCCTAACCTATACCCTAAACCCAGCCTCCACTTACCTTGGCAAGGCAGCATGGCGCCCAGAAAGGCTCGGACTCAAGAATGCAGACTGTGGACTTTTGCACTTAACAGCTTCGGGCAACTTGCACACAGTACCAATTAGTGTTTGGGTAGGTCTGGGATGTCTAGGCGTATACCAAGGTTAGAATAGTACATGTAGTAATAAGGTCCCCCTCACACACACTCCCCAAGGGCCTAGACTCTTTTATGCAGGAATGTCTTTTGCAAAAATGTTGAAGCACAACTTCGGCGTACGCCCACTTCCAAATATATATATATATAAACGATCATCATGGGAGCTACTGTCAGTCATCAGGGCGTATGTTTGCATGAAACTGGAAAGTACCCTGGTGGAAGACCAGGCAAAGCTGCGGAGATGGCTGCTGTCATGCATCATCTGGGTGTGTTCCAGAAATCAGGGGTCCCTTTTTAGCGGTCCCCAAAATACATTGGGTTCCCCCTATCTATGGAAACTACCATACTATGCGGCCAAAGCAAACACACAGCTAAACAGGCGCACAGTTCACTGCGCACTTTGCATATAGTTCCGCTACTACATCACTCAGTTCGTGGTGTTTCTCCCTAGACCCTACCGTCTATATACCCTAAATAGGGACCATATACCCCTATGTAAAAAGGTACAAGGAGGGTCCTGGTCTGCTATCCCGCAAGCTTTGGTGCTTCAATGTGACAGCCGCGCCTGAGGACCAAAGCTGCAGACAGACCGAACCTGACCAGCCAATCCACAAAGCAGATCACCAAATCCTGTCCTATAGAAGTTTAAGGCCTTATACATGTATGTATATGTAAATATATATATATATGTATATACATAGTATAACTAATATATATATATGCATATATACATAGTATATATACATAGTAGCCTCCCAAGAAAGGGCGACCCCTGTAAAGATCCCCCATATGCTCCCAGAAACGAAAGCTGATATGGCCCCCTTTTAAAGGACAGGGGTCTTCGCTGCCCTTTTGGATTTCCATCGTAGCCTGCGCAAGTGTACTTGGGCAGTTCCCAAAATTAGGGCCCTATTTTATTGCCCCTACATAATAGGCGCCGTAATGTAATCTATATCCAAGAGGGGCCCATAATTTTATCAACAACCCACTTGCAGGCGCACTTTTGCGGTAAGCCCCCCGCGCGGCCAAGCAAGCGGCTCCGCCAGCAGTCCCAACCCGAGCAGACAACCTGGCCACAACTTATTGAAACTCTCGATGTCCCCCCCACCTCCCGTTATTTTCCCACCCTAAAGCCAAAACCATAAAAACAATTCTCAACCCTAATTCCCCTATAATTCAATCTCCCCCTATACCCGAAGAACAACCCCTAAACCCTAACCTTAAGCCTGAAGCCCGGCCTCCGAGGGGTGCTCCGGGCTTGAGAGGAGACCGCACGCGACGGTCCAACAGGGCTCACGAAGCCCGCGGACCTTGATAGGGTTTAGGGTTTAGGGCTGGGGTATTAAAAAGTAATTGAGAAAACAGGGGAAGACCAAATACAACATGAAATGAACACTTGAGAGCAACCTGTGTCAAGACAAGGCGCACAAAAAGAACTAGCATACACGTATAGTCCCCCTGAAGCAGATATGATATATGGTATATGGGGATCTTATTATAATATACCAAAGGCCATATTCTATCTTCTCCAGGGGACTATATACGTATATATATATATATATATATATATGGTACCCCCCCCCCTCCCCCCATTGACCAAGGTTTTCTTCAATAATCTCTGCTCAGGTACGCCACCTTTAGATGCATCTTGGGTCAGGGTCATGTCTTGGTTAGGGTCTGCCAATTATTTTTAATGCTGGTCTGATAAAACCCCAAAATTCATTGAACATATTGGCCTCTCCTGGGACCAGCCAGGAATCTAGGAAAATCCAAAAAATCATGGAAAACATTGGCCTGGCC